GGTGCTCTATCCACTGCATTAGCTAGCTGCTTTTCTATATTGCCCTTCTTAAGGAGATCAGTGCACTCAGCTAAATGACACAATGCATAGAGTGATGGACTGGGAGTCAGGAATCCTGCTTCAGACACGAGCTTTGGAAACCTGGTCAACAATAGTTCTTACCACCCACAGCTGTAAGGAGCAGATAACACACATTTAAAAGAGACAACAGGGGCAGCTAGGTGGCGCAGTGGATACAGCACCAGCCTTGGAATCAGGAGGACTTGAGTTCAAATCAGCCTCAGACCAAACACTTGACACTTACTAGCTGTGTGACCTCGGGCAAGTCACCTAACCCCAACTGCCTTCAAAAGAAAAAAAAAAGAGATAACACATAACTACCTCAAATAACATGTACATAAGACAACATGCAAATCTTAAAACATTAGCTATTAGTATTAAGAATACTCACTATTATTATTATTATCCTAGAATCCCTCACTTCCTTGAAGACTTGACAGGTGCCACCATCAGTGGGAAGCGTTTCGGAGAAGACCCAAAGAGGACATGGCAGATGGCTGCATGTATTTGCATGGGAGAAAAATGAGAGTTGATCTTCTTGGCCACAAAAACCAGGCTGGAATCTGCTCCCTCATTCACCTCAGCCTTGTAAGATCTCCAGTTTCCTTCCAGACTCCAGGCAAGCAGCCTCTGCTCCATGAGGCTTCTCTTGCCCCCAGGTGGGGGTGTCCACCTGGTCCCTGGAAATGACCTTGCATTTACATTCTATATATTTTGCATAAACATTTTTGTGCAGAGATTGTTTCTCCCAGTAGAATTTAAACTTCCTGAGATTAGGGGCTGTTTCTTTTTTGCTTTGTATTCTCACTGTTTAGTGCATAGCAGGCAATTAACAACTGCTTGGTGAACGCGTGCATGCGTGCTTGGCTGAAGGAAAGACACCAGGAGTGATGGGCAGAAGTGATTGAGAGGTAGATTCCCAGTCACTCTCAGGAGAAGCTCTCTAAGAACTCAAGCTATATACGAGGATGGCCTGCCTCAGTGGGTGGTGAAGAACCCATCACTGGGAACCTTCCAGCAGAGGTTGGGGGCCACTGGTCAGAGGAGTCGTGTTGAGGCCCAGATCAGTCTCAAGGGCGATGCTCGCCAAACCAGGTCTTTGCTATTTTTAAGTAGACAAATGCCAAAAGGAAGTTGTAAACAGAATGAGAGCTCCAGGGGCCAGGCAGTATCATGCTCCTCACCAAAATGCCAAACTTGCTGTATCTCCAGACAGGCAGAATCCATTGTCTCCCTCCACTTACCATGACAGCCCGGGTGATCCTGCTGTCTACTGCCTGGCCCATGTGACTGCTGGAACACCCTAATGATCATCCCTCAAACTCTTGGGACAGCTTGACCGCTGGGAAGAGGTGCAGAGTAGTACAGTCAGAGCACTAGTTCTGGAGCCAAAGGACCTGGGTTTAAAACTCAGCTCAGTGACATACCGCCAACATGCCCTTTGGACCAATCCCGCACCCTTCTGGGCCTTTGTTGTCAAGAAGGATATTCAATTAGAGAGGTCAACGTTCAAGCTCCAGGTTGGTGCCTCGATGCTTCTAGGGCTTCTGCTGTCCCTTACATAACTCAGCCTGTCCAGAAGATCGCCAGTTGTGCCAATATCTCCTAGCAAGTCTCATTAGATTGCCAGTTATATGTGACCTTGGGAAAGACATTTATACTCCTTGGGCCTCAGTTTCCTCATCTATAAAATAAGAGTATTTGAGTCAATGGCCTCTGAGGTTCCTTCTGGCTCTGTTATCTGGGGATTCTCTGTTTTCGTTCCTTTTCATTTCTTCTCCCAGACTGAAATACCGGAGGGAAGGAAAGGCCTGAGACTGCTCCAGAGAAGCATCCAGATTCCTCTTTGTCTGGTTCCAGTAAAGCCTAGCAGCTCCAGATGGGCTCTGGGGGGACACAGTTCAGCTCTCCAAAGGGAAGGTGCCTTAGAGCAGACAGCACAGAGCATCACTGGACAAACCTCAACACGACTGCTCTTGGAATCAAGCCTGATGTTGCCCTGGCAAAACCTGCAGACCTTATCCAAAGGGGAAATTCAATTCATTAACATTCCTGGTCATTAAAATAATATTTACAAAAGAAGTTTTGATGTTGAAAGTGTAAATGAATCAGAATTCATTTGTTTTCCCTCAAACCATACCCATGCTTATAAACAGGGGAAACATACTTCAAACAGGACTTCTCATTGTTGCCAAACTCCAGCACACTGGGGAGCTTGCCAGGTCTTCCATTCCTCCTTTGGGCTCCCGCAGAGCAGCTCTAAAGTGTGAGGTGCAGGGCAAAGGCTGGAAGTCAGGGAGGCAGCCAAGATTCGATCCTGGGGGCTCCACTGAGGACACCATGATGGAAAGCAGGTCCGCTTCACTACTCCCAGTTTGTTTGGGCTTCGACTCTGAAGACCCGGGTTCCAAACTCAGCTCCCCACTTACTCCCTGGGTGACTTTGGCTGAGTCACTTTGCTTCTTTTTTATTCAAATCTATACCTGTTTATTAAGAGCCTACTATGCACCAGGCTCTGCGCTTTGAGGAAAAATAAGAAAACAGCCCCCACCCAAGAGTTTATGCCCCGCTGGAACATAAAACAGTCAGGAGTAGAGGACGTCTGGCCTCTTCAGGTCTAATGCAGATCTAGCCTGGCTCAGGCTCTAGGCTCGTGCTCCCAAGTCACATATGGCCTAAGGTCAGGGCCCCCTGAGAGTGGCCATGACTTCTCCCCTCTGGGCTCCAGGGGTAAACCTTGGGGGTTATGGGTGGTTTTTAGTATGGTTGTTCATGAGCCCTCACTCGGTGTGTTCCCCCAAATCACATCAACAGTTGATATCTCCCCAATATCATTTATCCAATTGACATCGGCACGTTTTTACACAGGGCTATTTACTGAGAAGCTATAGTAAGCATCAAGCATGACAACTGATTCCAAGCCTGGGACACTCTCCCAGGAGTATACGGAGTCCAAGGGAAGGTGGATCCAATCGCAGAGATCATGGCAAAGGGGGTGTAGCTCAGAGCCACCACTAGGTGGGAGTCCTTTGCTTCTTCTGTGAAGTCCTCAGTTCTCATGCTTCTTAACCACTGTGGCATTAAGCACCGGTGACTCCCCTCTCTCCTCCCTGGGCTGACATGATCTCTTCTCTCCTGGTTTTCTGCCCACTTGTACGTCCGCTCCTCAGCTTCCTTTGTAGGACCGCTGCCCTTGTCTGAGTCCCCTAAGTGTGGGTGTGCCCCAGAGCTCAGTTCTGGGAGGGACTCCTCTATTTTCCTTGGTCATCTCATCAGTCCAAGGGGTTCGAGCATCCCTTCTGCAAATTGTTCCTAGATCGACATATCCAGCCCTGGTCTTCTGAACTCGTCACTCACCAACCACCTGCTGGACACTTCCCACTGGACGTCCCAAACGCAACTCAAACTCCTTTCGCCCAGGACAGAATGGGTTATGCTCCTCCCCCTCCCCCCAGCTCTACCCTGGTCCACTTTCTCCCATTTTCTGTTGGTGTACGCCATCCTTCCTGTTTCCTCGCTCCTCACATCAGATGCCATCTTGTCTTTTGCTTCCATCTCCCTCACATCTGCCTCCTCCCATCCAGCCCCAAATAGCCTCTCCTGGACAACCATGAGGAGCTCCTAATTGCTCCCTCTCATCCAGTCTCCTCCCTCTAATGCACCTACGTGGCTGCCACCAACTTAAAGCACCAGTTCTGACCACAGCTGGCCTGCTGCCGAGGCCCAGTGGGTCCCTCTTGACTCGGGGGTAAAACACAAATTCCTCTCCTTGTCTTTAAAGCGCCAGGCTCCTGTTCTAGGCTTGTTGCATCTTGGTCCCCTTCATGTGCTTCTTAATCCAGCCATGCTGACCTGTTTCTTCTGACCTTCTATCTGCACATCTTTACACAGGCTGGCCCCTGGACCTGGACTGAAGCACCTCCTCATCGCAGCCTGTGTCTGCATGGATTTATTCTACTCACTACTCCTTTGTAATTTACTGTGTGAGTGTGTGAGTGTATGCACAGATCTATATCCATATATACCTACCTGCGCGTGTTCCATATTTACCCTACTATGTATGTTATTTCTCCCCAACAGAATGTAAGCATCTTCAGGCCAGAGGCTGTTTCATTTTTGCCTCTGTATATCTGAATAAATATTTGTTGAAAGAATCAACAGAACATGACCAAACCTTCTTCCACATGACAGCCTTTCAAATATTTTAACACATCCTCGTCCCTTTCATTGATCCTCCCATGGAAGGACCCAAGGCCCTTCGCTACCCCACCAGTTCCATCCATTTGCTCTCCAGCTCTTTATTTACCCGAGTCTTTCCTCCAAGGCGGTGCCCAGGACCGACCCTAGGCCTCGAGCTGCCATCTGAGAAAGGCCAAGTGCTGAAGGACTGCTCCTCCTCACTCCCAGGAGCTTCACATGTCTCGATGCAGCCCAAAAAGGCCTTAGCTCTTCTGGTCCAAGGATCCTATTGTTCTGACAATGTCTCGTCCCCCTCTGTGCTTTTGAGGCTGGCTTCTGTTACATTCAGCCTCATGTCCGAGTCTATCGAGCTCTGTTGTAGATCCTATCGTCTCGGCCATCCTTCCCAACGTTGGCACTGAAGCCAAGATTCATTTATAAAATGGGGCTAATCTACTCACACCACCTTCATCTCAGGGCTGTTCAGGGGCTCAGAGGTGGCCATGCTTAGATAAAGCACTCTGCAAACTTCAAAGCCCTCAGTGTGAGTTATTAGTACCACACCACCACCACCACCACTCCTCCAAGGAGCCACACTGACAATAACACATCCCTCTAACTCCTCCACCTCCCACTATTCCCCCTCCCCCACCCTAAGTGTGGAACATTCTCGTGGTGGACACTCCCTCCACCAAAGCAGGCTGACAATTTGTCTAACAGAGAACACAGCAAACCCACAAATCCGAACCAGAGACAGGGCATCTTGTGGACAGTTTATTTGGCAAAGTTTAACCTGTGGGTACTTCAGGTTCATTTTACCCCCAAAAAACAGACCACACTCATCATCCATTCTTTCTGGAGAACGTACCACACCAAACCCCGACAAGGCCTTGCTGGGGGTCACTGAGTCGGTTCTGTGTGGGTCACTGGTCACTATTTCCCTGAAGAATTGGCTCACTGAGAAACCACAAGCCGCCACAAGCGGCTGAGAAGTTGATGGTCCATCTCACCCATGCTTTTTCCTTGACTCACCCTTTGGGACACCAAGTCATTATTCATCAAATCCCCGTACGGTGTGACTTCAGAATTCATTGAAAAATTATAGACCAAAGCTTCTCATGGGAAAGCATTTAGGTGCTCTCATCTGTGTATCTTTTCAAAATACTAAACAAGACAGGGACTTAATCAGTATGCAATTAAGAGGCAGAAAATAATCAACTGAACTGATACCCAAGAACATAATTAATTATCTTAAAACTTCTGAGGAATGCTTATCCATTTAAGAGGAAACTTCATTGAATGCAGAGAAGGGAAATGTCATTGTATCAATGTGAAAAATAACTTCCCTGAACTTTTTGTACAAGAACAAAATAAAATACACAGACTTCCAAAAAGATAATTCAAATGCTTCTAAATAATGTTTCCAGGTGTGAACTGAACTGTACAACTCATACACTTCATAGAAAAAATAGGTGATTGTTTTTAATGAATTATATATAAAAGAAAAGTAAATTTTATGATACAATTGTTGAGACCCTACTTTGTACAAATTTAATGCACATACAGTATATTTGCCAATCTTTCTACACAGAAATTCTGGTTGTATTTACAGATTCATAAAAGGCATAAAAGGTATCTTGTCCCAAAGCATGACAGGGGTCACCTTAGTGTCATGCCATCCAGTGTAGAAGAGGCCATTAGCAGATGTGAACATCTGGGGAGCATGCAGGAGGGAACAGGCCAGGGAAGGGCTAGCTCTCTACAAACTGAAGATTCTCTATGGGAAGGGGACCCAAATGGCCCCACTCTGAAAGGAAGACAGTCTCACGGCCTTCCTTGAGCTCTTCCACTCCCACCGCCGCGTAACACATCAGGAGTCATTCAGACAATGGTAACAGTGAACAGGGCTGTCCTCAGGGCACACACATAATAGCCTCAGCAATAAGAAATTCAGAAACGTGACTAGCAGGAGACAGAATTTAAAACAGTAAAGGTGTCTCCGAACGCAGTGAAGCCCTTTATCCAGTAACGTAGAGACATGTGTTTCTTCAACATCACAGGTAAATGCAAAGCTTCATATAGATAATATAAAAGGATAGGCTTTAAAGAAGGGAAGTTTTCTGGAGATGGTAACATAGCAGCACTCAATAATAAGCGTGTCCACTCTGGTCTTCTCTTTGCAGTCACTACAAAGCCTCTCGCGTTTGGCCAACAACCCTCCTACAAAGAGAAGCAAAGGCACCAGAGCGCCGCTCAGGCCAAGTGAGCTCTCTCCTGAGCTCAGAGGACGGGGACGGCTGCCTTACAAAGAGCTGCATTTCTGTCAAGCCTGGCCAGTGGCGATGCCGTGTGTGGGAGAGAAGAGCGTGGACTCGGACAACTTCATATTAGGAATGTGACACTCAGAAAAATGTGAAATTTGAAAAAAATCATTAACTTTGAAGACATGCAAGGAACCAACAGGCAAATAGTACAGAGGAAAATCTGAGCTAGACTTTGGTAAGAAGCATGAAGACAGACAAGTATTTAAAAGAACATGTGCACTTATATTAACCCTTTCCAAATGCAGACACAAATAGGAATTCACTTTCAGTGTTTTAAAGGCCTTTTTGTTCTACTTATAAAGTGACTATCATATAAACATTCATTTATCCTGGCAAAAAAGTTCTCTGTGCTTGACCTATAACAATACCCTAGGACTCGTAGGGAACAAAGGATTTTTAAATTTGGGACCTGGTCTCAGATGATAAAAAGAAAGGAATGACTTAGTCATCTGCAGCAATAACGTGTACTTTCCATAACTCCCCAGAGGAACTGGCCAAGCTATGTGCAAGCAGGGGAAGCTTGCTGGGACACTGAAGGGGGACTGGTTGTCACTAGCAAATGCTCACAGCCCAACGCCCAGGGCATCACACACGCAACACATCGAAAGCTTGGTCACACGGTGGGCTGATGACACGGTTTTCTTAGCAGACTGTGAGGTTGAAGGACACAGCTTTCTATCATAACACACACCTTTCCCTTTTATTTTAAAATAGGTGGGGCTCCAAGTCACCTTCAGGCCTTCACCGCCGTAAGCTGACATTGATGCTATAGACCATCTTCTGGATCTTCTCCTCATTCTTCAGGATGTTGGCCTTCACTGCACAAATCTTGTCTTGCTGGTCCTTGATCAGCTGTTCCAGCTCAACCAGTTCTGCCTTGAGCGGCTCCACCGCACAGTCTGTGATGCTAAGCAGAGACAGGAATGGACAGGGTCAGTTGTACCTGGAGGCACCTCCTCGGTGTTTCCTGTTCAAGCATCTAAGGATTTGGGGTCTATTTAATCTATCATTTTAATGGTGAGAGAGAGAGATGTGAACAGAGACATGACTGATAGCAAAGTTCCAAACTCCCTACACTGTACGAATTGTGGTCCTTGTTCATGCAGATTCAAAGGCCAAACACTAGACTGACAAAAGAGAGGTTTTTAAAAATCAAAATATTTCTGAAATTTATATGCTCAAACACAGTTTAAAAACATGGACCCCAAAATGGACCGAAACTGGAGATTGTCATATGGAAAATGGATTAGATGAAGAGGAAGGGAGAGCTAAATGTGGGCAAGATGCCGACCATGCCACAGCCCATGCTAAGTGAACACCCCCAAATCTCAGGTACCTTTGTGCCAAGGAGGCAGTGGAGACTTTACACCACAACTAAGTCTTTGGAACAGATTATTTTTTTTACAACTTAACATTGCCAAACAACAAAATTCATTTTGACTTAGTACATTAAAAACCAAAATAAGGTTCTTGAAATTAATGGGATCAGTTAGAGAGAAAATTAACCTACGGTAAATTCTTTTAGGCATAAAACAAGCATGCCGTTAAGTGAGACAGAAAGTGTGGACTTTTACTCCCTCCTCACCTGCACCTCTCAGACTCCCTAGATCTCTTAAAAACTCAGTGGCGTTCGCACCCCCTTCCCTGGGGCTAGCACTCTCTTTAAGCCCAGACTCATCACTTTGTCACTGCCGTGGGAATATTTTATATTTATCTCTCTAGGCCTGGAATGTGCCCCCTTCCCACCCCCACCTCAGGCAGGGCTCCTCTCCTCAAGGCCCTCCAGCCAATACCCCATGGGTTCGTCTCTGGCCTCTTCACCATCTCACTGCCCTGCTGTGGACATTCTAACTGCTCGATCGGATTCTATCAAAGAGGAGCCCAGCGCCGCCACGCTTTACAGGCGGCGGGACCACAGCAGGGTGACCTTTCCATCTTGTTGACACTGTGACCGTGTTGCCCAACACCACACAACTTAGTTTGGCTTTCATGTCCCACGGCTGACTCCTTCTGAGTTCACAATCGCCCCAGACATTCACTCCCACAAACTTGTTTACTGCCCACATCTTTCACTCGTGAAGATGAATTCTTTGAACTCACATACAGAACTTCACGGTCAGCTCTAATGTATTGCATCCCCTGATCTCCAATCTCCTCTGGTAGCCGATTCCCTCACATCCCCTTCCTCACTAGTCCTTAATCTCTTCCTACTGGATTCTCTCCTGCTGCCTATAAACATGCTCAAATCACAGCCAATCTTCAAAAAAATAAAAGTCACCCGTCCCTTCAAACACCATTTCTACATGTCTCCCCTCTCCTGGCCTCCTCTTGCCCTCCACTGACGGCCACTCCAGCCTGGTTCCCAACGGGGGCCCCAGTCTCTCCATCATGCACCCAGAGGCCTCTTCTCAGTTCTGCGCCTTCCTGGCCTCTCTGCCGCACGTAATGCTGCTGACTCTCTCCTCCCCTCCCTCGCCTCCTTCCCCTTCCTTCTGGATGCTTGGTCTTCCCTGGCTTTTAACATTTCACCACCCACCTGTCTGGGGCTCCTTCTCAGCCTTCTTTGCTGGTCTTTCACTAACCATGGGTGTCCCTGAGGCTCTGCTCTGGCCTCCTGACTTTTCTTGCTCTACCCCTCCCTCTTGGTGAGGTCATTAGCTCCCATGGGTTTCATTACCACCTCTATGCAGATGGCCTCCACATCTCCCCTAAGCTCCAGGCCTGTATCACCAGAGATGAGATGCTAATCTGTGTTGGGGAAGGGAACTCCTCTCCCTACACTCACAAAGTCAAACGTCTAAAAAAAAATAAGGAATCTAGGGAAAGAAAACACAGTTGGCAGGCTGGATGACAGAGAAGAGGAGGAAGTCCATTCTTAGCATGGTGAATGGTCTCTGTGAAGAGCCTGACAAGGATGGGCCTAGTGGAGAGAAGTCTGCCTCTGAGTCACAGGACCTGAGTTTGAATCCCAACTCTAACACTTACTCTCTCAGTGACCCTGGGCGGTTTTCTCATCACTGTAAAAAGAGAGGGTTGGACGAGATGAGCTCTGAGGTCTTTCTAACTCTGGGTCACTGTGGCCATGGCATGTTTGGGGCATGCTGGAAGATCTGGGTGATTTTTAAGCATAAACAGAAAATGCAGCCTCTTATGGATCTGACACCAGTGGTTAAGGACACCATACAATTCACTATATGAAAACAGGATTCCCAAAACATGACAAAAGAGCCAGCCTTGCTCCTGGCCCAGACAGAGATTTCACTGCAGTACTGACAAAGGCTTTCAAATACCTTCCTAAACTATACCTTATTTTTTGTTAAGCTTGCATTTTTCCCACAGTTGGAGTTTTTAAATGGCTTCACAGCTTTGGGAATTTGGATATATTATTTTAAAAATATCTCATCCACCATTTCAAATTCCATTCATTAAGTCAATATGAACCAAAGGTTTAATTCCCAGGATGCAGGTCTGTGGGGGTGGAGAGTCCTCTCTGCCTCCCTGCCCGTGGCCCCACCCGGTCCCGCCCCCACCCCGCTGCCCCTCACCTCTGCTCCTTCTGCAGGGCCTCAGCATGCTGCTTGTTCTCAGAGTGCCACAGCTGCAGCTCGTTCTGCATGGCATCCATGTCCTCCTGGATGTAGTCCATGATCTTCCCCAGGGGGAGGGCGCTCCGACACAGCATCTGAATCGACGTCCGCAGCTTCTCAATCTCCTTGGACACGATATCCTTCTCCTTCTTCCAGGCCGCTTCCAACAGAAGCGGTCTGTCCTGGGAAAGTTTGAGAATGAAAAAGAGAAAATCTCAAACTGAGGATGAGGAAATGAAAATAAAAAAAAAACTCCCCATGCCAAACGAAACAGGTGAACGAGAAGCAGAGTTTTTGGAGGCACCGAGGAGGTCGGCGGGTGCTGAGTCGACTGCCAAAGGCGTGAGCGGCTCACCTGCGACAGGTGCACATACGTGCATGAGCCTGAGGCGCCTGTGACTCCACAGCACGGGCATCTGCCAACCAAGGCCCTGCTACGATCTGACTCCAGCGTCTGTGTAGATGGAGCTCGGTGCCTCTGGGAGAGAAGGCCACAACCCTGGGCCGAGAAAACCCGGTGACTCTACACCTGGCTCTCCCAGCCCCCGACTCAGGCTCACGGGGTCTGGGGCCAGATGGGACCCCAAGCTCATTGTACAAAGGAGGCCTAGAGAGGTTGGGAGGCCTGCCCAAGAGGCAGAAATGGGAACAGGATCAGAGAACTAGAGACCACCGAGTCTAATCCCCTCATTTCACAGATGAGGGTTCCAAGGCACAGAGTGGTTAAGTGACTCACCCAGGGTCACACAGCTAATACAGGTTTCAGGTACTACTTGAACTCAGGTCTTCCTGACTCCAAGCCCAGTGCCCTAATCACTGAGCAACTGAATTTGAACCCAACTCTTTTGATTCTCAACTCAAGGTTCCTTCTCCTACTCTTCCTCCCAACCTCATCCCACTCTCCCAATATGAACCTCCTTGTAGGATAGTTTTTAGACCAAAGAGTGCTGGAGAGCTGAGAAGGTGGTGGGGTCATGCCTTTCTCTCCTTCTTGCCTTGTTCAATAATGGTGTAGTTGATGAAAAATGCCATTACTTCCCAAAGGTACAATGTCACAAGGATGTTTAATTGTGCTCAATTTAATTCAACAAGTGCTGACTGAATGCCTACTATGTATGGACCAGCATCGTGTGAAATGTCATGGGAGACGCAACTTCACCTTGCTGCTACGCTTCACCCACCCTGGATTCTCAAGGTGAGGGTCATGTCTCCAGCAAAACCAAACCCAGCCCCCCACGACCTGCAAGGTGGTGTCTAAGAGTTGATGTAGCCAAAAAAAGTTCAGGTCAGGAGCCAAGATGGAGGAAAAGGCAGGAACTAGCCTGAGCTCTCCCAAACTCCCCTCCCAACAATTTAAAAATAACGCTTCAAAGTGAATTCTGGAGTGGCAGAACCCACCAAAGGACAGGGTGAAACAATTTTCCACCCTAAGACAGCTTAGAAGGTTGGTAGGGAAGGGTCTGCTGCACTGGAGGGGGAGCAGAGTGTGCTCTAGCACAGGCAGCACCCTGGCAAACCAGAAGCAGGCCTTGGGGGCAATAGAATCGTCACTAGCAGCTTCTGGAATTCTCGGACCACAAAGTGGTAAGGATGCAGACAGCTGGCCAAGGGAGATCACGGGAGTCTCTCTGCTCACACTGGGCACAAGACTGTTGCATTGCCCATACGTAGATCTGGGCTGCAGCACTGGGGCAAGGAGAACTACTAGCAGCAAGGGGGCCCTGGTCCCAGCTCCAGGGCGGAGAAGAGTGCTTGTGGTCACTCACAGACTAGAAGAGCGCTAACATATCTCTCCTTATATCATACCACCCTGGGGGAACTAAAAACTTACAGACCACCAGAACTAACTGAAAATAGCCTGAGACAGTGACCTCCCCACCCTGGGAGCAGAGCCCAACATAAAGCTAAGAGTTAAAAACATAAACGTAAAAAGAAAATGAGCAAAGAACAAAAAAAGGACCTGATCATAGAAAGTTACTATGGCGACCAAAAAGATCAAAACGCAAACTCAGAAGATAACAAAGTCACAACTGCTACATCCAAAGCCTCCAAGAAAAATGTGAATTGGTCTCAGGCTCACAAATTAATTTCTGGAAGAGCTCAAAAATAATTTTAAAAACCAAATAAGAGATGGGGCAGCTAGGTGACGCAGTAGATAGAGCACCAGCCTTGGAGTCAAGAGGAACTGAGTTCAAACCCAGCCTCAGACATTTGACACTTACTAGCTATGTGACCTGGGCAAGTCACTTAACCCCATTGCCTAGCCAAAAAGGAAAATAAAAATCAAGAGAGGTAGAGGAAAAAATTGGGAAAAGAAATGAGAGGGATGCAATAAAATCATGAAAAAGAGTCAACAGCTTGGTAAAGGAGGCAAAAAAAAATACTGAAGAAAATAACACCTTAGAAAGCAGAATAGGTCAAATGGTAAAAGAGGCACAAAAATCCATTGAAGAGAACTCCTTAAAAAGCAAAATTGGCCAAGTGGAAAAAGAGGTACAAAAATTCCCTGAAGAAAATAATTCCTTAAAAAATAGAATTGAGCAAGCAAAGCCTAATGACTCCACAAAACTTCAAAAAAACAATAAAACAAAGTCAAAAGAATACCAAAAAAAATAGAAGAAAATGTGAAATATCTCATTGGAAAGACAACTGACATGGAAAATAGATCTAGGAGACATAATTTAAGAATCATTAGACTACTTGAAAGCCATAATTTAAAAAAAAAAGAGCCTAGACATCATCTTTCTAGAAATTATCAGGAAAATTTCCCTGATATTCTAGAACCAGCGGGTAAAATAGAAATTGAAAAAAATCCACTGATCACTTCCTGAAAACCCAAAACGAAAGCTCCCAGGAATATTACAGCCAAATTCCAGAGCTCCCAGGTCAAGGAGAAAATGTTGCAGGCAGTCAGAAAATAACCATTCAAATAACGTGGTGCCATGATGATACAAGATTTAGCAGCTTTTATATTAAAGGATCAGAGAACTTGGAATATGGATATTCTAGAGGGCAAAGGTGCTAGAGTTACAAATGAGAATCACCTACCCAGCAAAACTGAGTATAATCCTTCAGGGGAAAAAACCGGATATTTAGTGAAATAGAGGACTTTCAAGCATTCCTGATGAAAAGACCAGAGCTGAACAGGAACCATGACTTTCAAATACTCAGGAGATGCATAAAAAGGTAAAAAGAAAAGAGAAATCATAAGAGATGCCATAAAGTTAAACTGCTTACATTCTTACATGGGAAGATGATACTTTAACTCCTAAGAACTTTCTCATTATTACTAGTTAGAGGGTGTATACATTGCCAGAAGTCACGAGTGTGAGCTGAAGATGATGGGACAATATCTAAAAAAATGAATTTAAGGGTGAGAAAGAAGAGTGTACATGGAGAAGGGGGAAGGGAGAGGTAGAGTGGATTAAATTATCTGACATAAAAGAGGTGTGAAAGAGCTGTTACAATGGAGGGGAAGATAAGGAAGGTGGGCAGGAGTGTTTGAACCTTAGTCTCAGCAGAATTGGCTCAAAGAGGGAATGATATACCCACTCAGTTGGGTACAGAAATCTATCTTACTCTACAGGAAAGTAGAAGGGGAAGGGGATAAAAGAAATGGAAGAGGTTGATAGAAAGGAGGGCAGATTGAGGGAGGCAGTAGTCAGAAGCAAAACATTTTTGAGAATGGACTGGGTGAAAGGAGAGAGAGAAGGAAAAATGGGGGGATAGCAGGATAGGGAAAAATACACAGTAATTATAACTGAGAAAAAATTATAGCCAATTTCTGACAATACAGGCCTCATTTCTAAAATATATAGAGAACTGAGTCAAATTTATAAGAATACAAATTATTCCCAAATTGACAAATAGCCAAAGGATATGAACAGCCAGTCTTCAGATGAAATACACATATCTGTAGTCATGTGAAAAAAAAATTACTAAATCACTATTGATTAGAGAAATGAAAATTAAAACAACTCAGAGGTACCACCCTACATGTATCAAATTGGCTAATATGACAGAAAAGGAAAACAAAAAATGTTGGAGAGGATGTGGGGAAATTGAGACACTAATGCAGTTATGAAGCCATTCAACCATTCTGGAGAACAATTTGGAAGTTTGTCCAAAGGGCTATAAAACCATACATACCCTCTGACCCAGCAATAGGTCTGTATCCCAAGGAGATAAAAAACAAGAAAAGAAAAGGACCTATATCTACAAAAATATTTATAGCAGTTCTTTTTGTGGTAGCTAAGAATTGGAAATTGAGGGGATGACTGTCAATTGGAAATAGCTGAACGAGTTATGGTAGATGATTGTGATGGAATACCATTGTGCTATAAGAAAAGACAAGCAACATAGTCTCAGAAAAACCTGGAAAGACTTACACAAATGGACAAAAAGTGAAATGAGCAGAACCGAGAGAAGAGTGCACACTGTAATAGCAATATTTTATGATGACCAATTGTGAACTACTCAGCTATTCTCAACAATACAATGATCCAAGGCAATTCCAAAGGACTTATAATGAAAAATAGTATCCACCCACAGAGACAGAACTGATGGAGCCTGAATGCAGGTTAAGGCATACTTTTTAAAACTTCATTTTTCTTTTCTTCTTTTTTTTGGGGGGGAGGGTAGGCAGTTCTGATTTTTTTTCACTATATGACAAATGTAGAGAGTGGTGAAAAACCTCTCCATACAAACGTGGCTCCTTTGACAAGCCCAAGCCTTTTCAGTTGAGTGGACAGTATCCAAGCTTCTATTCTGCTCACATCCACACCACAAGGAAACATCTGAAGAGGAGGAGGGAAGATGGGAGACACAAAAGCAGGCTAGAAGAATACATTAGAAATGAGGGCGAATAAAAGATATAAATTAAAATCTTTCAAAACCAGTAACTGTTGCTCATCAGACATTACCTGCAAGGTTTTACATGATCACGTGAGTATTTTCAGATCTAAATTATATTCTTAATCTGTTACTGATTTATTTCATTTTGTTGGATGGACAGTTAAGAGAAAAAAACCTGGTAACAAGTCGGCTGTGAAGGAAATGAGCTAGGACGACATGGATAATTTAGTTTTCAATTACACACAGTTAACTATGTGTGCTTCAGAAAATATCATCTTTACTTGGTCTAGGAGCAAATAATTCCATGAAGGAAGACTGATTCAAACAT